CTCCATGAAATAGCCGAATTTTATAAAAGCTAAAGCCGTTATTTACAGGGAATCTTTTTTGCCTTTTGCATCTTCGCAAGTTATACGTTCATAAGTATCGTAATGAGAGTTTCCGTAAATTTACTTGGCAACCGTACCGTATTTAAATCATCGACCCTTTTTACCTTTGGTGTTTTGCTAGTTACATTTGTAAGTACTGCAATAATTTTTGATACTGTAAATTTATACCTGATGCTACGTACTTTGTTTTTGTCGTTATCGAAAATTTGACGTGCCGATATGAGACCCGATTTGTTTACGTTACTTGTTGATTGCCATTTCTGTTAGTTTGATGACATTGTATCTTTCAGATTAGCTGTGTTATACCGATATTAGTACCGTTATTTTGATGTTACCGTTGCTTTGTCCGAAGCCGAAATCTACAATTTTGTTTGGTTACGTTATTTGTTTATTCCGAAGGATTTGCTCATATTAGCTTGTCTACATTTTGAATTAATTAGATTGCATTGTTCTTGAATGGAAATTTAGTTATTTATGCATCGTAAAGTATTTTTCTTGAATTTAATGTTACCTACTTTTATATGGTCATACCCGAACTATACGGACAATCGTAGTCGAACCAAATGTTGCTTTTCCTAGTGTAAAGTCATTCGAATTATTGATTCTTTTTGAGTATTAATTGTAGTTTTAATATCCGATTGCCTCCCGTGTCAGACGTTAGAATTGCTATTTCGCAATATTTTATGTGCGGCGCGATTCACTACCCTTTTTATTTGTTTGTTCTGTTCTTGAATTTACGGATCTGTTACGGATTTGCAGAACGCCCCCTTTTGAGCTCACAAGGTTGAGACCCGAAGTTCAAAGGTATTTTTTTTCGTCGACTCCTTGATTAACGTTTGATTACATACTCGTTTTCGATACAATCGAATTGTAATTATTACATTTGCTTGATATTCACGTAACGATTATAGCTCCGTTGTTTTCTGCGGAGACTTGCTTTGATAGTAATACTTTCTCTGACTACGTGTTGATCCCCTTTGAATTATTTTAATTCAAACATTGACATAGCAGATGTATGTATTACAGTAACCTATTTTTTAGCGCATTTTTTAAGAATAAATGTGCTATTGTTTACGTTTTGTCCGTCCGTCCGTCCGGACCCACTTCTACCGTTTTGAACTACTTCTACGGAAATAGTCCTAGAGTCCTGGAATTTTTTGCAGTAGGTAGCCTATACCTTGAAAGTGTGCCAGACGGCCATCAAATTTCGCTGTCTAAAAGGGCCCCCCCCTCCCCCACGAATTATTTCCTGAGATTCTGTTTATGAAAGTAAAGTGTGCATAACTTTTACATACGACAACCAATTGGTCTCAGATTTTGCACACGCATGCCTTTAGTGATGCCAAGTTAAACGTTAGAAAATGGGGGGGGGGGGGGGAGTAAACACATGTTCCACCCTTCATGGTATTCTAATGAAAGGCCTCATCGAAATAAATTGGTTTGTACAAACTATAACTTTCCCGTGCGACTCTTTTCTGAGATCAGTGAGCGACGGGGCCTGAGGGGGGAGGGGGGTTAAAATACCAACTACTGCCCTTCTTTCTGTCCTCTTATCAAAGAACGGAATGGTGGGGGGGGGGGGGGTGGAACTAGTTTTATCCTTCTTGGTACTCTAATGAAAGGTCTCAACGAAAGGAATTAATTTCTACCAACCAAACCATAGCCCTCCTCCTCGACCTCTTATCGTGATCGGGTATATTCTCTTATACCTCAAGAACGGATTATCAGAAGAGGGTACACACAAAGGGCGATTGAGACGTCTGCAACAAATATATCCATTGGTGATGTCAAAACAAAAGCTATTTCGATTAAAAAAATGCGCTTTATCTGCACAAGAGTTGTGTACAATTTATACTTGTTGTTTTTTTGAGAGTATTGATTAAATTACTTCGATTGAGGTGTCAATTATTGTTTATGTTCTATTCCTATCAAGTATTTTATTTCTTTAGCTTCTCAAGATCTGAACAAGGATCTCTTAGTCTACCTTGTTTCCCATTTTGGTAAGTATTCTTCCCTCTCTTTTGAAAGTCACTAAAGACTAAGTGGTGCCTTTGTGGTTTACCATTACTACTTATCCCATTTTGCTTACTTTTGCTAGTGTACCAGAACCCCGATATCCACCTCAAGGTAATTTTGTTACTTTTGTGTGAAGGTAACACCGTATTTACAGCTTTTGCTTTTTCTTGCACAATAATTTCTAGCGCTTCATTTAATTGCAAGGTAAGCGTGTTTGCTACTTTCTGTTCCATTAATTATGTTTCGCTTTCCTGCATTGGGTTTCTCACATAGATCGCTAATTAATTTGTATTTTGTTGCTTTCATTCCGCTAGGGAAATTTGCCGTATGGGCCATAATTTTGTTTTAATGCTTCCGAAATGGCCGCCTCCATTTTGCTGAACTTTTCCAATTCCTAGTGCTTCCTTTTACTCTGATTGAGTTTACTCGAGGTTTCAGAGACCGCTCCGCAAACCGCTACTACCGTTGACCTTGACCAGGGGCAAGACCGTACCCGTTGGTGGCGCTCGAGTCTGTCTGTTCCGCCGACATCACATCCAGGTGGCCGCCGAGTGCCGTTATGTTCGTACATTTATATGATTTAGTTAACTATACTATAATGTATTGTAAATTAAAATTTATTTATTTTTCGTTTAATTAAATGATAATCTCTATTCCGATGATTCTATTATTTAATTTTTCATGTCATTTGCGCGCGGACTTACTACCGGAGTTCTTCGCAAATGTATCCAAGCCGTTACAACGTTTACGGATATAGGTATTTACATAAAAGTCAGGAAAATGATACATTACTGGCGAGGAAATATTGAAGTTCGATGCCCTTTTGGGGCCGAGTACTTTAATTTCCGAGTGAGGTAATGTCATTTTACTGACGAATTTTGTATTCAATTTTACCCGAAATCGTATTTTAATATCAAATTTCAATTTTTATAGAGAACTTTTGATGAATGTCAATCTGTCAGTGATGACAGGAGTGATTATTGACATTTGGAAATGTCACAAATGCAGCGGTAAAGTGACGGTGCGGCCGGTAAAGTGACAGATGCGGCCAGTAAAGTGACAGATGCGGCCAGTAAAGTGACAAGCGGCAGGAAACGTAGTCTGCTCTGCTCCCGTCATAGAAACTACAATTTCATGACAGAAAGTAAGCATGAAAATGAAGGTTTCAGGACGATTTTGGGTAAAAGGTTTTTCCGAGAGTTTTTCTTTCGGTTTTTCCTTAGTCGAAATTGAGACATCCGGTACAGTCTCGTGTACAGCATATCTTGTCCGAAATCGTAAAATAGATGGAGGGTAGTTAATATATACAGGGTGTTTCAGACCACCCGTCCCAACCGTTTGTCGCCGATATGATATGTTAACGGTCTTGGAAGAATGTCACCGAAATTATCGTGCTGCTGCTCGCCTGTATGCACAGAGGTATCCGGAAAGATTGCATCAGAGTCGTAACTTCTTTCAACGTTTTGCCAAACGTACGCGTGAAACTGGAAACGTCCAACCACAACATAACAGAGGTGGAACTGGAAAGAGAAGGAGGTATGTAAGAGATGAAAGGGCTGCTGATATCCTAGTTGCGTTTGCGATAAATCCAAAGAGTTTCCGTAACTGTTTAGCGTAATAATTGATCATTATTTTGCCCCTTCAGGGTTATAAGCTATCGCATTCAATTAATTTGTTACCTTCAGCACCTATTCACTATTTTTGTGAGCTCTGTTAAGTTGTGGTCCAGTTTTACACGCGAATGTTATGGTAACCCACTACTTCCTTCTGGAGAGGTTGGTCGAGTCAGTACCATACTTGTGATGGAAGCTTACCACAAGTAAGGCGAGTCCCTTCAGGTATTGTTCCGTTCCTAGTATTCTGAGCTTGGGAGTTTTCTTTCGTTTGCCTCCCCGCAAAACTGTTTAAAGGTTGTATAAAGAAATATCTTCTGTCAAAGGCCTTTTACACCTTTGAGGAATTCTGTTCGTCGGTAACAGCGTTAAGTTTATAACTTCTTATGACCATATGCCTGTGATATAATATAATCATGTTTGTCTTGTGTTATAGTTATGTAGGAAAGTTAGGTTAAATGACAAGTGTAAATGCAGATACCGCGTAATGGCACACATTAAATATTAATATTTGCAGGTTTATTATGGATCCGAGAACTGAGCTCATTTCTCTGGATGACATCTAATTTACATTATATACGCGTTGCCTTTTTATGTTTTACTTGTATTTAGCTTATATGCGCGCGTTGTGTTCGGAACCTCAATTTCTTTGTGGAAACTTGTTTTAGTTTGAAATTGAGTGGCGCTCAAGGAGATCAGTTTACCCAGAACGAACTACCACTGTGGAAAATTCTCAAGCTCTTATTTTGTGTATAACCTTGAGCTAGTTGGCTCTTTATGCGGAGGTTTTGAGGAAAGCAGCCCATTATACAAGAGTGTCTTCATCAGCGATCAACTTTGTAGTTAGTCCTCTGAAGAACTGTGGAAAGTCAGTACTGAACCAGTAGGAAAACCTTCATTTTCTGTGTGAAGCGCTAAAAAGGATCAGCAATCTGAGCAATCGACACCAGTTCGGTCGTTAGTGCTTTCACTGACAGTTACTTAGGCATGTATTAAGACAAACGCAAAATATGCTTGGGTGATTTTGATATATTCCGAGAAGTGTTTATACTTACATCATAAACTTCCTTATCGAAATGTTTTTAATTGGTATGGCAAAGTTTATTAAAGCAAACATGGGGACGATGTAAATGTTTTTATAGGTAGAAATGTTGTCAAGTTCAAAAGAACACAAATCAGATTACGGATTATCTTCCTACAAACGGACGTGGACCATTTTAGGTCGTATGTACCACAGATAAGGGAATTCATTTAGATAAATAAGTTATTGCCTTCGTTAGACCTCATTAATCAAAGTTGATGGGTACGTACCTGTGCAAGACGGTCGTATGTGGTTGTGCACTTTCAAACGTCTCTAACCTGTCACTTAACAGTTCATCTACACTAATCGAGCGCGGTTGCGGAAGATCGCAAGGAAATCTTTTCAGGACCTCCATGTGCCTCTGAAACCTCTTCACATTCTCTTGTCTAGACAGTTGCGATTCACAGGTGGAAATTATTAATAAAACTAGTCCACACACTAATATGCTCTTAAATACAAGCGTAGGAAGACACTTTATTGCCATTATATTTATACAATCTGGTTGGCACTGCCACAAAACTTTATATAAAAAAGTAATGGTCCGGTTCTTTAATTAAGCAGAAAATGAACCTTCTTTTCATTGCTTCGTTTGTGTCAAATCACTTCGAACGTTAATTTTTTTTTTGAATGACAAACACCGCTTATCTGTGTTGATACATCGGAACTAAATTCAAGCGCATTATTTTTTATTTTTAGCAATTCGATGAAAAGGATGTTAAACCGTTTTAGAACTGGTGCTGTTTACTATTGGGAGTCGCGCCGTCGACTAAATTAATTCGAAATCACTCCACGCTTTTATAAAATTTCCTATCGCCGTATCATCATTCATTTTTGCTTAAATTTTGGAAAATCCCTCGCCGGACGTCTTCACCGCCAACTCCTTGGACATCTGCAAAAAAACAAGGCGGTTTAGTTTCCGTCGCTCAGCAATTGTCAAACATGCAGGTTCAATTTTGAAAAATTCAAGATAACGTCACCTTGACTTACTCACATGCATTCAAGTAATTGTGTAATTACTTTACTTGGAACAAAAAAAATGTAATTGCCTTTCGATAGTAACGTGTCTCCGGAAATTTTTTAGTATTGCTTCATGTTTAATTAGCTTTTCAAAAATACAATAGCAATTCGTAATTGATTGTGAGTTCCAAAATGAGTCTCATTTTATTACACTTCGTGCAAATCAGCTGGTAATAAATGTGTGTTTCTAATCTAATGACACAATTACCAAAACAACTCATACATGAAATCAGAGATGCTTCCGAAATTTAACGCACATGTAATCACTCTCTGAGTATCTACTGTATGACCAGTGAGTAACTTTGATCGTCTAAATTTCCGCGAAATTACGAATCAACGGGTTACTCGTAAAAGAATTGTCACTTTTAAACCATTTGTTCTGGACTTAATGTTGATATTGTTCATCTAATCCAAATAATACTGTGGTTGCAGTGTAGAAGGCCATAGAATGCAATTTTATGCCATATTCTCTGACTCAGATGGTCTGTAAATTTACCTTTCCTTCCATTGGTTCTTACCACAATTAATTAATAAGCGAAACCACAAGATGGTGTTAGAAAAACCGCAAAGCAGCATAATTTTGTAATTAGGAAAAATATATGGCTGGAAAGTAATCCATCCAGCGCTTGGGTTCTTAAAGATATTATAATCGCTTTAATACCAAAACTATGACTAATTTTCAAAATGCATATTTCCAAGAAGGTTGAACCGAATCCTCGGAGTGACCGTAGCTGCCCTGCCATTAGAATGTGTCTGATTAAGAGCATAACAATCTGCAGGTATAATTAGATCAAAAGGCAATCGAATTTAATTCGGAAACCGTTCAGGTCAAAGCTGAAAATCTCATTGGTGATTGTACAGATTCTAGGTATTGCCTGTGCATTTTGCTTGTATTTCATTCCACATCGATCATATGAATATTCAACAAGTACCTCATAAATTAGTTTTGAAACAAATATGTATATTATTTAAAATACACGTCATTATCTTCTATAGCTATTGTGATAGGTAAGGGGAAGTATTAATTTACAATTATGTCAGTTTGCCCTCTGTCACCGCTATTCTATAGACCCGTATCCCCAGACAAATATGATTGTCCCTATGAGCGAATCTATTGCAGAGATCATTTACATTACATATACAGGGTGTTTTTTGGGAGCTTTAGTTAAACGTTTCTGGGAAAGTAAAATAGGTAGATTATTGAAAATTTGTACTTAGCAGTTACTTTGAAGGTCGAATCGATATAAAATATTTTTAAAATGGCCGCACTTCCGGAAGTGCCGGAAGTAGTTAGTAACCTCGTTATTTCAAATAGCAACCCCTACGTTAAATTTTAGTTCTTTTGATATCCACATGTCGATATCTACCATTTATAGTTTTAAGTTATTTTGACTTTAAGAAAAAAAATTCACAGATTTCGCAATCCTTGCAACCATCGGAGACATTGGAAATGATAACCGCATAACGCCATATGTAAAATACAAATAACCCCTATTCACCCGGGATTACGTAGACGTTCTGAATAATAAGCCTCATAACATGCTCGTAATCCTACTTAATATCCAAGGACATTAACAATATTAGTGTCAGTTTCAACGATGGGTCTTGCTCTAGAGTCTAGGTAATTGTTTTGGGGGTACAAAGTTTCCAAAATTCATACAATTTCGTTCCAGTGTTCATGGGTGAAACCATTGTGAGCCATTTTGCGAATACATCGACATGTGAGTATCAAAAAAACTGAAATTCCACGTAGATTCCAAAAATGCACCAAAAAATTGGGGTTGCTATTTAAAATAGCGAAGTTACTAGCTCCTTCCAACATTTCCGGAGGTGCGACGATTTTGCAAATTTTTGCAATTCGGCCTCCATGGTAACTTCTAGGTTCAAATTTTCAAAAAACCTACTCATTTCACTTTCCCAGAAACGTTTAACTAGAGCTCTAAAAAAATACCCTGTATAAGTATATTTCCCTCTGTAACTGTTTCTCATGATAGCACTGCGCTCAGATATTAGTTTAACTCACATCCATCTTGACAAGACACATTACTTCTACGTAAATGCTACATAATGGTAAGTTGAGTAATATAAAATGGTCACATGTAACTGTAGCTAACACTTCAGCATTTCGATCGACTGCTAAGCGCCATGAAAAATTAGATAGTCTTCGGCGATAACGAACGAAGGCGGATGTGACGTAATCTTTCCGAGAAATGTGATGTAAGTATTTTATTCTAGAATGTTCGCGACCGCTCGGGAACACTCGACTTTACGATATAAGCAAATCTGATTGCGTTACAAGTTAGTTCCTACTTCGATGCGTTATTTTTACGATATAAATTGTGAGTGATAAATTGTAGTTACTGTTATAAATTAATCAATTTTAAGACTGCTTTAAATTTATTGCTAATTAATTGTTATAAATAAACGACGTAATTAAATGTACGTAACAACTGGTGTCAAATGTCGGGTTGTGTTTAAGTGAACAATTAGCCGAAAGTTTATACCAGTAGAGACCACATGTAACGGGGTTTCCAATAAGAGATGTTATTTTGATATTCAAAGGAAAATGCCATTTTTTACATAAATGATCGGATATTTATTACATTATAAAGAGCAAGGTATACCGTTAAGAATGGAAAATAACATCAGCTAAATGACCACCATGACCACGCCTACAAGACCATATCCTTTTCATAACATTTTCCATATCCAAATGGCAAAGCGGCGGCCCTGTGGCCTTGATAGCCTCACGAATTCCATCTTTGAGGTCTTGAATTGATGCTGAGCTGTTGGCGTAGACCTTGTCTTTCAGGTGGCCCCATAGGAAGAAGTCGCAAGGTGTTATATCACAAGATCTCGATGGCCAATTGTGATCACCTCTTCGAGAGATGACACGGCCCGGAAACTTTTCCCGTAAAAGATCAATGGTTTCGTTATTTGTGTTTGTGTTGAAGCGTGTATCGTTCCATTTTTATTAATGGCGTAGTTTCTACTTGTCTAATGTCAAAAAATGACAGCTTCAAAAGTGACATCTACCGAAATAGCGGGTTATTCAAAATAACACCTCTTATTGGAAAACCCGTTACGTCAGACGAAATGGGAAAACTGCCCCAGTTAATGCAAAACATCGGTCAAGCTGAAATAAAAGCTGACATGAAAGTTGGATACGAAACTGATCAACAGACCATGCGAAATTGGAAGCTGGTCAACAAGCCTTGGAAGCTAAAACAGAAAATAAAAATACAGGGTGTCGAAGATAAAATTCATACGATAAAAAACGAAATCGATGAACTACGAATGCGTACGAAAAATGTCATCTGTGATTTCACAAAACCTACTTGCTGTTCCACAATCGTCCGTCCCGCAAAGAAGCCTTTGAACCGTATGAAACTGTTGGTACAACAAAAGTTCGAGCGAAGTCAGCAACTTTCGATCAAAAATCACCGTGGTCCACCTGCTTGAGACAGTGCGAGGCCGCTGCCGCTACAAATAAATGGACAGCGGAAGAACATCAGGCAACTTTTTAGAAAAAAGCAACAATGAGGCAACACTACGTGGGTAGTCCATTTGAAAGAATAGCCATTGACATCTCAAGTCCCTCCCCAGAGACTGTTGCCGGAAACAAATACATCTTGGTGACCATGGACTATTTCAGTAGATGAATAGAAGCATATTCTCTAATAAATCAAGAAACTGAGGCTGAGGCTGTGGCAGACGTTCTAGTAAAATAACTTTTTAACAGATTTAGAATGCTCCTGGAACTACACTCTGACCAGGGACAACATTTGGAGAATTGTGGGATCAATATCTCCATTTGTTCATGATGGCGAGCCGTTCTGCGGTGCAGGAAACTACAGGAGAGAGTCCAGCGTCAGTACTGTTTGTCCGGGAACTCCGGTTGCCGTGTGATTTGAAGTTTGGTATAAGACCCGGCCAGGAAGAAACTGTGGGTAACGAGTACGTGGAAAACCTGCGACAGAAATTGGACGCCAATGAAAAGTGCAGTACGACGTGAAAGTCCAAGCTGGTGGTTATCAACCTGGAGATCTGCTTTGGTTCTATCGTCCCCAGAGGAGACGCGGGCTATCCCCGAAATTACAAAGAGCTTGGAATGGACCGTATACAGTCGTGAAGAGAATGAACGACTTAATATATCGGATACGGAAACTACCACGAGGAAAACCAGTGGTAGTGCACATAAATCGATTGGCTCCATATACCTGACAGAACGACCCCGAGGAACAGGAAGCAGCGAATGTGATTCAAGCGAAACCACCACACTATCGCAGAATGTATGGCACATTACTCCGGCACTCTATTGTTTTTTATTATCACTGTCTACACCGGTTTATAAACATCTATATGACTAATGTGTAACTATTTTTGTGAAAAATATTGAATAACCTAAAAACTACGGGGTTTAGGCACAGAACATCCCTTATAAAAATTGAAGAGCGCACAAAACACTATCAAATCGAGAAATAAAATGGTGGTAGTTTAATTTGAAAAAAAATAGTCATGACACTTTACTATTTTTTTGTGAACACCCTGTATCACTAAATCCAATTTTCTAATTACCAATGCGTTTCCTTTTATTCAGATTAACATTCTTGATCAAATGTATATTTCTTAACTTTAAAATCAAGCTCACTACGATTTATCAAAGTGGAGCTTGCTGAAAAAAATTAATAATTTGGCAACATTGGCAAAAACCAAAAAGTGAATAGGTTTCCCTGCAGAGGTTAAAAAATGACATCGAAACAACTAAATATATACAGAGTGTTCCATTAAAAAAATCAGCTGTCTATTGACACCGTAAAAATTGAACACCCTGTACATTCAAAAATAATTTCTGTAGATGCGCAACTATCTATGGTTGATATTGGCACAAAAGGTTTTTTGATATTTTTACTAGGAAAGATCGGACCCACTGTTGCAGGGCCCTGTATAAATATCGTGAAGTTTTTTTTAAATGTCAAAAAAGAAAAAAAACAAAATGCAATAGACAATAGACACATTGAAATTGAATGTTGGCTTTGGTTTACTTAACTTTAGCCACAGATAAAATAACATCTGTGGGTTTTCAGCGGCTTCCGCTTTTAATACCTATAACTATACAGCAGTGTTCTTAGTAGACACTTTTTGTGTTCTTTAATCACAAAAAAATTAACATAAACCAATAAGAATGGTAAGTATTAAATAATGCCCCATTGGCAGTTGGCACTTTGGCTCGTGGGCCCCTCTAACACATGGGCATTCCTTGTACCCCCGGTTGCTACCCCCCTGTACCCATACTCCACCTAAAATGAATTTTTGAGGAGTAGATATGTTACTATATCCTGCATTACGTATGACCCTTTAGTGATTTAATGAGGGATATCTA